ATAGATAAGTTAAATACATAAATAAACCTAGAATGGAATAATACTCAGCAATAAAAAAGAGCAAACACATAGCCTGGATGAATCTTAAGGGCATTATGTTGAGTGATAAAAGCAAGTCTCAAGAAGTCACATTCTATATGATTCCATTTATCTAACATTCTGGAAAAGACAAAGCTATAGAGACAAACAATAGATTAGTGATTATCAGGGATTAAGGTGGTTGAAAGAAGGGAATGGTTATGCCTATAAAGGGGTAGCATGAGGGAAATCTTTGTAGTGGTAGAATAGTTCTGTATCTTGATTGTGGTGGTGGCTACATGAATCTACATGTGATAAAATGACATAGACACTTCATACTAACATCAATTTCCTGTTTCGGGTACTGTCTATAATTCTGTAATATAAAACTATTGAGGAAATGTGGGCGAAGGGTATATGGGATGTTCTGAACTATCTTTGTAGCTTCCTGTGTATCCATGATTATTTCAAAGTAAAAAAGTTGAAAAAGTGACCAATCTGTACATTTCACACGGGAATTCTATTGTATATAAATTATACCTCAAATAATGTTGATTACAAAAAATAAGCATCATTGTAACTCCCAAATAATGAATTGATTGGTTACACTGATAAGCTTATTGGAGTGAGCCTAGGTTTGAGTTCCCTAAGAAAGTAACAGACTCCTAAAAATAAATAACATTCAGTTGGGTTGGTCAAACCATCTCATGAAATGACCTAAGAATATTTACACTCAGCCCACTTATGTAAATGAATACAGTGCTGACAGCGTGGAGTGGAAGCGTCAGTCTGAATCAGATGGGGCTTATCACCAGGGTGCAGAATGATAGAAGTGCAAATAAGCAGAAAGGAAAGCTCTTAGAGTGAAAACAAAATGTTTTATCTGCCCAGCCAGCAATACCAAGGCCAGGCGCCAAGCAGAAATGTGGGTGGGTGCAGGTCAAGACCCACAGAACATGTTGGTATGCACACGCACCTCTGGGATAAGGGAGGGGCTGTGGAAAATCCTGTCCCAACCATCACTCCACACACACCTATGGCTGTTCCAAAGGTGTGAGGGCATAGAATGAGGAAGATCGATCCAGGTCTCTCACTTACCCTGGTCCCAGGGTGGGGTGGGGGACGCTCAGCACAGGATTCCACCTACACCGGAGCCATCAAGCCAGCTGAATGCAGAGACAGTAAGAATATGTAAATATTAAGCTATCCCTAACCACCTTCTTCTGATCACTACTTGTTAATAGGCTTTTAGGGAGACTACCTGGAACTTTTAAGGGCCAGGTTGTACCCGCTGCTTTGATGGGACTGCTTTGACATTTCCCTCATGCTACCCCTTGATAAGCATAACCATTCTTTTCCTAGCTTCTGAGCAACAGTGAAATGATTCTTCTAGAAACTGTTTAGTAGGCATAGATGACAATATATTGGCTTGATTTGATTTCTAAGGACCAGGCTTTTGACACAGGAACATGAAATGCTGTGTTTCTCAAAGTGTAGCCCTCAGGACTTAGGGATTTCCAATAAAAAATACAGATTTCAGACCTACCACTGCTGGATCTCAGGAGGTGGGCCTGGGAATCTGCATTTTTAATAGGCATCAGGGTGCTGTTTATGCTGGGGATCCCTGATAGAGTGTAGTTGAAAGCAGGAGATTAGTTAAAAACATTTTTTAATCAATAGTGTTTTATCATCCTCTGTATAAAGTTGTAGCTGTCTGGTAGAACAAAACAGACAGAGATTTGCTCTTTTCTTTTTTTCCCCACATTGCAGAAGCCAAAAATTATGAACTAACCAGGAGGTACAGAGATGAGAGAAGGAGGACCAGCATGGAGCCTGGTGCTTCCACCCACGGAGTAATTGGCCTCTGCGTAACATAGCATTACTAGATTCTGAAAAATCTTTGAAGTGCACATGGCTCGAAAGAAAACTAATAATGTAATTCTAGAAGTCCACATTTGTTTCCTTAGATACATAACACTGCACAAACAATTTGGTTGCAATTTTGAGGCAGTGGTTTCACAGTTACTTGATTAAAGTACAGTGCCTTTTCATAAGAGATGGACTGATAGCACTGCAAGGCTTTTGCAAGTGCCACAACTCAGAATTATAACTTAGCCTGCTTCTAATGATATTTTTAGCTGATTCCTCCTGCTTCCAAATACATTTCCATATATTATTCCCATAACATTTTCCTCATGATCACAGAGGGTTCTTTCTCAACTAAGTCAATACACAGCTTTTCTGAGACAAAAAAAGTGGGGAAAAGAAACAAGCATAACATTTAGCTCTTGAGAAAAGTATATCGTCAGCAAAGACAGTGCCTCTAAATTATTGACAAGAAATATTTCCACAAACCATGGGCTTTCCTTAAATTTTACCATCTCTTCCAAACCCCCAGAGCCTTCAATTAAGTGACCTAACCTTGGGGGCAAAAGGGACAGGGGCCGAGCTGTGAGATTCAAAGCAAGCACGCAGGAAAGCTGGAAAATGCTGATGAATCACTGTGTATTCTGAAAGAGTGAGGTCATGCATTTTTTCCCATGAATAGTTATCTCCCTTTTTACTATGGACTACATCATCCCTTTTATTTGGGATTATTTTGTTTGGGTGTCAGGGATATTGGTTCCTGTGACCACCCTCCCCCCATGGAAACCAACATTTTATCTATAAACACAAGACACTGTATCCTTCAAAGCAGGTAGCCCCAGTGCGGCTCAGCTGTTGCCCTTGACCTTAAGAGAACTTTTATTTTTCTCTCCCCTTCTCAGCCCAGATTCTATTTTCATGCCCATCTGACATTGTAGCCTTTCTTGTGAAGGGTTTGCCAGTTGTGCTGAACTTGCCAAGTTGTACCAAAATATTTGATATATATTTAATATATGTTATGTTGAATTGCAATGAATTACTTTGGCCAAATACATTGCCCTTTATAGTGCAGGCAGCTTATCTAAGCCAGATTAAGTATAAAAGCTTGTGTCGATATTAAGAAACTTTCATGAACTAGAAAACTCTGTCTAGTTCTGTTATTTTCAGTTTTAGATTTAAAATAGAAGCAAAGTAAAACAAAGTGATTTATTCAGTAAATTAGTGGCTATTCTGTATTATCAGCAAGTGTGTTACATTTAAAAAATTACAGAACACTTAGAATTCTTCTCCGTTTTAATTTGGGCATAAGAAAGGCAGAAAGAAGAACAAAACAAGTAAAATGAACATGATCGTAATTACCTGTTCTTGAAAAGAAAGCCAGACCATAGATTCTGCTAATATTCACTAGATGTTAGTATCATTAAGGCCACATATAATGCCATGTATAGTATTGTTTTATTTTGGCTCGGTTTTTTGGGGGGTGCACTTTTACTATTATAAAAATCAAAGTATCTGTTTATTTCTATGATTTAAACCAGATCAAAATACCCATGATGATGGATGTACATGACTATACTTTTTTCTTCCTTCATGCTTTCATTCAGTCAATTTTGAAGTGCCTACTCTCGGCCGTGTAGCAATGAAACGCCTGAGAAACTCCTCCATTATCATTAAATAATTCTAAAGGTGAAGTTTTTCACTAATGTTTTAGCAAACACTGTCATTCCTGTGATACATAAATAATGTCTGGAAAGATGGGTTCACATATTTTCATGTTCTACCGAAATGAGTGATTAATAATGTGAATTTTGAAAAAGGTTTTCAAAATAAAATAGAAATCAATAAGCTTTTCTGTTAGGATAGTCATTTTTCAATGTTAAACCAAAAAGATCATGAAGATATAATTTTAATAACTTCTAATTACCATACTGTTCCGGATGCCCTCCATGCCCTCCATATTCTTTTCCAGGTCCATATATCAGCCTTCTCTGTTCTGCTCTCTGTTAAAGAAGGTTGGCCTCTATGGATCTCATTATTGAGCTATCTTGCCCTCTGGCTTCCTAGTGGCCTGGGTGTCTAATTAACCTCAACTCTCTTTGCCAGATGGCCACAGGTTGGCTGTGTCACTCTGCCCAAGGCCACAGTGCATCCAGGCAGTCTTATCTGTACATCCACCTTCTCCATGTTCTGCTGACCCATCTCTCTACTTGAGGTGAAGGAATGGTTGCAGATCACCAGAGCTGCTAGCCCGTGTGTGCTGACCCATCCATTGGTGTTTTCTCTAAAACCCATTGTTGGTTCCTCTAAATTGTTGGTTTCTTACACCACTTGTAAATAAAGGAGTATCTTTATTAAAAACTCCTCAATTACATCATTTGAAAAAACCGTTTATTTTTGTCAGAACCCTAACATGGCATGTATGGACTATGAGAATTAAGTTCAAGCAGTCTTCTTACAGAGTTCTAAAAACAAATCGCAAAGTTTGCATCAGCTCCAATTTGGTTTTTCTATATTCTCAAAAGCCCAATTGTTTATCAAAACTTATCTACATTTATAAATGAAACACAATGTTTTAATGAAAATATATTTCCTGTTGTGAGCATCATTGTAATGGTTTTAAAAAGCAGATTTTATTGCTTTGGTTAAAGAAAAAAGTTAAATGCCTGTTGATAGGAGTTGTAAAAGCAATAGCAACCAACTAGCTCCAAAATACATAATTTAATGAGACGTACAAGTCTTTCAGTCACTTTAAGTATCTGCTTCATGTGGAAGGCAAGAAGTGATTTCCTCAGTGTTATAATCCAAGCAACCGGCAGGAGTTGGCTCTTGGTAGATATTCAGTAAATTTTTATGTGTTGAATTTATAAAGAAATCAAAGCTTATTTCACTTTCTGATTAACTGAAAAGGGAAATCTAAAAGTTTAAAGTCTGATAACTACTTTAAATGCCATTATGTTTCTTTTAAGATTAAATTATATCTATCTAAGATATAAATATGTATATCCATAATTATTATTATATTAGTAAGAGACAAAAAATTTAATTGTGCTATTGTTATTAGGTGATTGGATTTAAATATCTTTACTTTAATTTCCAGAATAGAATAAAAGAATCTTGCACCTGGAAGAATTCTGCAAGAACTCTAGCCTAACGGTCATCCTTTAGAATTTGAAAATTGAGACCAAGATAATCTAAGTGAATCATCCACAACTGACACAATTGATTCAAAATTTAAATACTTCCCAATTTTATAGGCAAACATAAGCCCATGGATTTTGATACATGATCTTCTAGAGAATTCCAGCTGCTCTGTAGATGAAGCACTCAGAATATCCTCTGGTAAGTAGATCCCACTTAGATAGAAAGTAACTTTGAAGCTACTGAATATCATCTTGTGCAAGGAAACGGACAAGGACCTGGGGAGTTGGTAACCTCCTCCCTTCTCAGGACCTGCACAGCAGTGGCTGATCCTTGGTGGAATTCCTAAGGACTTTAAAGGCTGACTGATTCCCAGTGAACTGCTATCAAGGAAGTTGAAGGTTTCAAGATGAGGTGGAGCTAAGACAGAAGATCCCAGAAATAATACCATTCAAGAGAAGAGAAAGTCTTATCTTTCTTGCTGCTCATTCTATTTCTTCTCTTCTCATTGTTCCTCCTTTTCTTTCATATCTCCCTAGTCTCTCTGTCTTTTTTTTACTAACTTCTCTCAGTTCCTCTCTCCTTTTTCTCACTGGTGTCATACTTCCCAATAGACACTTATCAGAGCCAAACCATCCTTCTTGCCATGGATAATGTTGACTGTATCAATCCCTTTAACTAGGAAATTGACAAACAGAATTAAATTTATTTCAACCAATCTTTTGGGGGGAAGCGGGGGAGATTGTCCCTGAACTAATATCTGTTGCTAACCTCCCTCTTTTTGCTTAAGGAAGATTGTTGCTGAACTAGCATCTGTGCCAGTCTCCCCTTATTTTGTATGTGGGATGCTGCCACAGCATGGTTTGATGAGTGGGGTGTAGATCCGTGCCCGGGATCCTAACTTGCGCACCCTGGGCAGACAAACTGGAGCGCATGAACTTAACCCCAACACCACTGGACCTGCCCCTCAACCAAACTTTGTTGAAGGTCAAGCAATATTCTTAGGAGTAAGTTGCAACTGCTGACCTCAATGACCTTAAAATCTGGACAGAGGATTATGTTTGAGGAGGTCATCCAAAGGACATGACTGCTGCTTAACCCTGGAGCTGGATCTTATCAATCAGAGGCTCCTCACCCATTCCCCTGTCCTTGGAATGTACCTCTTACCTACTATTTCCACACTAGCAGCCATTTCAAGGACACAGCCTTAAGAGAGTAAGGTGTTGTTGGGACCATCTGGACTGAATACTGGACTGCGCTCAGTTGAGGCCTCTGTATAAAGTTTTAAGGTTCTGGTGGGCAGGTGTGGAAATCTCCTACTTTTGCAGCCACCCAAGACAAGCCTTGTATGTAAGTTCTCTTTTGCTTATAGAAACTGCCACCTACCAATCTGGAGTGGTCTGTCTCTTTTTTCAGTCTGTCCTTGCCCTCCTGTCTTTCCTTGCCCTTCATGTACAGAGACCAGTTTCTAATTCCACCCAAGAAACTCCTGAGGTTGGGAACCAACAGCTTGAGACAAGTAAGCAAATAATGGTTCTTCAATTTCCATATGTAGAGAGAGATTCCATCACATCTACCTGAGTGAACTGAATAGCCATCATGAAATAGTCAATATTGGAATTGAACAACAATTTACCACAATGGGTAAATATGGGAAAAGATCTTAGATTGTCTTTTAATTACTAGAGGAAGAAAGCCTGGATAAGGAGGATAGAGCTAGCCTAGGGAGACCCTTGCATTCCAGGCCCAAAAGATCATAGATAATTAGGGAGTTTATGGTAACTCTCTGAAAATACTTTTAAATTTGAAAGTGACATATTTACAGATGTAACTTCAATGATCCAAACCGAACTGAAGCAACTGAAAAAAGATATCAATTTATCAGAATGAAACAGCAGATGGAACATGGGGCACACTGAGATTTTTTTTTTGGTCCTGCCAAAGTGAGTAGTTATGCCAAATATTTTGAGACCCATACATTTTGCTAGTTCTATGGGTGTCCAATTTGAATCAAAATCAAAATGACCAGCAAAAGTCATTCGAAACTTTTCTTAGATCTGCAGGGCCCCAAACAAAACAAAAACAAAAGGAACGTAAGATACAGAAATTGAAGCATAGAACAATGAAACTCTACAAGGAAAGAAAACATTTCTTTAGTAAATAGCCAAGAAAACAATTGAATAGTACCCACCTTTTATTCGCTCACCTATTTTAATAAGTAAATATTATCTACTTTTACCAGCCTATTTCAGAGAAAGGAAGAATATCCCTCCTTCTCTCTCACTTTAGAAAAATCTGAATTTTGTGGTAGAAGCTCAGGATATCTAAATACATCCCAGTGGCTATGTTCTATCACACTTTGAAGTAGTTTGAATACCATCTGAAATGTAATATTATTTCTAAACCCTTTCAGGTCACCTGTCTTTCTCACATTCCCCTTATATACTAAATATTATCATAGTTTTTGCATATATAATATATATTAATCTATATAACATATGATACTGGTAAAACATTTTTACTAGTAGAAATATTTGCAGGAGAATTATTTCTCTTTACTTATATTCAAAAATCTTAATAAACTCCTCATTTTGCCCATTGCCAAAATGTTTCTTATTCTCTCAAGAAGTAAACTGTTACTTTTGCTTCTGGCTTCACATGTATAATCAGTTTTCCTAGGCTTAAAATCGTCATTATTTTTCTATAAGCCATATTCTAAAGACATATTAATATGTTGAATTCCATACCCTGCCTACTGGGATATACATGGTATGAATTATTTTTGAAGTGGAAAAAAAGCTATTAAGATGGGCTGATGATCATTGTCTTAAATATCACTTTCCCAACATCAAGGGTTACACCTGGAAACTGTTCATCATAGCCAAAAAGGCAGAGCCTCCTTGGGATGGGGTTCATCAGAATGACTAATACAAAGTCATTTTTCTCATAAATCTGCCTATTCTCCCACCATCTGTTATTTGCATTTTTCCAGAAAGTTAAAAAAAAAAAATACTGATGGAATGTTTTGACCCAACTGCAGTTAAATTCACATGGTTTACTCTTTTAGTTCCCAAGATGACATTTCAGCCAAGCCTATAGTGGGGTATTGCATCAGAATATCTTCTACAATGGGAATTCCAGGTGAGACATCTAGAGGCAAAAGGGAGAACTGCTTAAGAATTAAACCATCATTAGTAGCAAGTATTTCTGCTTCAAATGAATGTTGAGTTAAAAAAAAAAAAAGAGTTAAAAAAAATCCTAACAGTCTGTGTACCCATCGCTGAATATCAACTCATAAACCCCCACATGCTTTAATTTCCATCATGCCAGACCTGTGAGTTTAACAGTTTTCTTGGATTTGCAATGATTTGCTGGAATGATTTGTGTAGCTTTCATACTGTCAACACCAAAAAAGATGAATATTTCTGATTCAATGAAAAGGTGTACTTATAGAACACCATGTTACTCATTATGTCTGGACATTCACGTAGACATTTGGCTTGGAAAAATGCAAGATAATGCCTGCTCAAAGCTATTAATCTAAGTAATGTTTTATTCAAGGCAAAAGGCCCATATAACACTTGTAAGAAAAAAAAATAACAACACTATTCATTCTACTATGCATGAGGCACTCTACAAGGCACAGGGTGTACAGTGGTGAAAAGGGCAGAGATAGTCCCTGCCCGCATGGAGTTTGTAGTCTAATTTGGAGAGATCGAGACTTTAAAAAGCAAGAAAAAAGGATGTGTAATTACAAATTGTAGTAAGTGCTATGAAAAAAGGAAGAGTATGAACGCATGGAATCATAGATATTCATTGACGGGGTGATTTTAGAAGTCATCTAGTGATCAAAAACATTTCAGGGTTAAAGAATATAAGGTCTAATGAGATAAAGAGATTTGTCTAAGGTCACAGAACTAGTATGTGGCGTATTTCAGATTCGACATAGAGAAAATTTAAATCAGTTAATTTTACCAAATGAAGATGATTTGCCCAGCTTTGCTGGGGAGCAATAAGATTAGAAAAAGCAGTAGAAGAGAAGATTCTTGGTTTACAAATGCTGAAAGAGAAGTGAAGTTGGCAGTTCTTTTTAGGGGATTCTATCAGTTAGGCTAAATGAAGTTATATTGTGATAACAAATAATCCTAAAATTTTAGTATATTACAACGAGAAAGATCTATTTCTCTCTCATATTCTATATCCTTCATGCATGGCTTGCAGCTCTGCTCCGATTCACCTTCATTTCGGGACCCAGACTAACAGAGAAGCTTCTAGCTGAAGCACCACTGGTTGTGGTGGCAGAAGGAAGAGCAAATTAGTTGGACCATGTGCTAGCCCGTGAAGGTTCTGCTCAGAAGTATCGCATGTTGTCTCTGCTCACAAGGCAAGTCCAAGATTTCGTCTGAGTATAGTCTTCCTGCTGGGATAAGCATCAAATATAGGTGAATGATAAATTTAACCTACCACATATATAGATTATATATGATTTTCATATGAAGATTCCAAGAGATATTTTAGTAAGGGGTCCTGGTGTCTTGTCTGGATTAATTCTTAACACTTGTTTACTCCCTCAGCTTGTATCTACCTTCTCCTGGCAATATCTCCCTCCCTTTTTTGTGGAAGACGCTTCATGTCTACTCTTAGCCCATGGAATCGGGGTTCCCAACTCCGTCTTTAGGAGTGAAATATTCATTATATGTCAGATCTAAGCCAGTCCTTTCTTCATATTGCCCTGGCCACGATGATTGGGTCACAAGTGGGGACTTAATCTACAGCTGGCCTAATTAAAGCAATATTCCATGCTTCTGTGGGAGCCATGGGTGGATGGTGATATGGAAGGAAAATCTATTTCCTCCTACACTTAGACTTCAAAGGTCGTGAAGCAGAAGCTGCTGCAGTCCCCCTGTTCATACTCAGAGCTTGAGTGTGAAGCCCAGCATGGGGAAGGGGAGAGTCCTGATCTGAGATATGTAGAGAAATGAGTCCCTTGTGACAATGTTTGAGCTCCTCAATGAAGCTGTTCATGAAGACAGCCCTCCCCTTGGGCTTTCCAGTTTTTGAGATAATTTTGTTGTTGTTATAATTAATTTGTTTGGGCTTTCAACAATTGCAATTTGAAATACATAATAAATATTTTGAGCAATGTACTCTGAACCTATGCTTCCTTCACTGTCAAAAATAAAAGGAAGAAGATGGCATGCAGATATCACACTCTATGATTCCATAATCCAAGACACTGTATGCTATGATTAAGACTCTAGTACAAGGGTATTGATGTTTATGTCTAATTGGGATTGGGCTTCCAGAACTTCTCTCAGTATTGGTAACCAGAACTGCTCTTTTCCATGGCATTGCAACTTTATTCTATGCCATAGACACTGTACAATCACCCTTTTAAGACTCAAAAATAAGTCCACTGATACAGTTTCAACTGTCTTTGAACCATTATTTTTAAACGTCCTGGACACCAGGTCCTTCAAATGCTGCCTCTTCCTCTAGTAGGGTCCCATGGGGTTCACAGACGTTTCTGCTGCAGCCTGGGCTATTTTCTAGTTTCCCACTTTGTGGTTTCAATCAGCAAATGTCCAAACCTTTTCTAGTATTTTCACTATTGTCATTTTTGCTTTAGGTAGCTAAAGAGTGATCAACTTGGGTTCTATTTTTTCATAAAATTCATTTTTCCTGTTTGGCTTAATTTTGGAAAACCTGAGAACATACAAGAGGTATAAGGCATTTCTTTACCAATTTTCACTGCAAATTAGGAATCAGAATCAGTCTAGATAGATCCCCTAGGTCATGCTTGAATCTTTGGAGTAGCTTTATTCTTCATGAAGTCATATCAAGATCCTCTGAATCCTTGAGAACATGGGATCATGAACAAAGAAACAAACGACACTTCTAGAGCCTTCACCATTCTAAGGACTCAATGTATTTCTGAGTTACCAGATACTGGTCCAATAAAAGCATTTTTTTTTTTTTTGGCTCATAGGATGCCTAAAAAGTTACTCTGTGATGTCTCTCCAAGCATATTTTGCCAAAAAGTTACTTTCAACTTCATAATAAAACAATTTTCTATTGGAAGTGGAAAGTTTTCACAGTTCTCTTGGGAAAATATTAGATTTAGGGATTCTTAAAATTACATAGGAGGGAAGCTCAGTTATCCTGTTTTTTAAAAAAATCTAAGTCGTAATGACCCATTTATGGATCCGTAAACAATGTTTTGAATTTGTAATAAAAGACTTCAAATTACAAGTGGTGGTTTTTGCAACTACATGAGGAAAAACAAAAGCTCCATAACAGGTTACACTCAAACCTGGTAGCAATTCAATTCCACAACCAATACTGAGCTCTTAATGCATATAAAGTACCATGCTAAATATGATAGGGGCATGTAGATGAGATCCAATCTTCGCATTCACAAGTTGTCACTGTCTCAGAAGATAAGGCAAGCACAGGTACACGTGGATGGGCTGCAGGGTGGAATATGTCCCACGTGGTAAGGGAAGGAGATCAGAAAATATTGCCTGCGAGAAATGAAAATTGAAGCAGATTTTGTGAAATTTGAAGTCACAAAATTCAAAATGACAATGATGATGATCATGATAAATGGAACAGAAGCAGCCAAAATAATAATGAATGTTTCTTAAGGTATTACTCACAAATTCTATTAATAATCCTATGACGATCATGGGATTTAATCCTCGGAGTGACATTAAGAGAAGGTATAATCTCTTCATTTTGGGGACAAACACAGCTGCAAACTAATGTTTAAATAACTTGCCTATAGCCACACATCTGGTAGTGGAGGAGTCAGGATTCGAACTCAGATTTACCTTGCTCCAGAGCTTGAGCATTCACTTGTGTCCTGACTCTGTATCTTGGTCTAATGCTTCTTCTCTTTTCTCTGTGTGTCCCACATTCCCCCTGTTCTAGGTCCTAGGATCTCTAGAGGAAAGAACCTGGCCTGCCTTACTCTGTTCTAGAACTACCGCTCCAGTAGTCATAACAAAAGTTATGTTAACGTTGACAATGCTGATGAAGTAGAGGTGACCCAACAAGGACTAAGGTGTTACCAAGACTGTCCAATCCAATCACAGAGCCAAAGAGTGGTCCCAGGGCCCCCTGAAGACCATTGCAGGTGGGAAATTTCTTCCATGAGTGATAGGCACCCTATGCTCCTTGACCCTCTACCTACATCTGCTAAGAATATCTTTCACTCAAAGCCAGGTGAATTGGGAGTCAACTAGTAGTGAACATCCCACCAAGTGAAGCTGAGTCCATTAGTTTCAAAAACTTAATTTAAGGGAAAAAAACTACAAAAAAATTGCCATATTCTCTGAAGTGAAACAACTTGTATTAGAACATGAATTCCATTGAAAGTGTGATGTCTTGAAGTTCTGCCCAGAGTTTTGATGTGCTAACCATAAAAATCTTTAAAGAGTAGAGATTACACATTGTGACTGTGATAATTTAGGCATTTCTTTTCGGAAATTTTATTTTAAGGAATATCCTTGAAATAATCTTATTCTACTGTAGCATTCTGGTTGGAATTTTAAAAGAACAATAAACTTATTAGCCTAAAAATTTTGTCAAAATAAAGTCTAGAGGCTGTTCTGAAGAATCACAATATTTGATTTTGTTCTTTGAAGATTCTGAGGCCCCATTTCTTCTTTGATGGGCACTTCCCCATAGGTACTCATCTTATTTATTGATTGCGGAAACTTGAAGGTCTTTTGGTATTTGGTGTTATTTTTATGTGATTCTATTTCTTTATCATTTAATTGTTTCAGCTCAGAATTTGCCTGTGGGCCTTTTGAGCTGTGACAAAACAGCTGGTACATGACAAGTTGCCAGAGTTAACAGCCGCCTGTCACGCTCTATTTCCAACTGTGACACCAAAGATGAACACAATCCCAGTTTTAAATGGACCCATTTCTTTAACCTCAGAAAATTGTCTTCATGCCTTTGAGCTGTCAAGAGGAAAAGAGCATATCTACAATAATCTATACCTAATTTGTCATCTCGTTAATGTTTGTTTCATATTGCCTTTTAGCAATGACCAAAAGGTCACACAAATTAAAAATACGGGTCTGAGAAGCATTTGAAGAATAAAGTTCATTCTTAAGGAACTGTGTGAAAAGTAAGGTAAATTTTAAGGGTAAAAAGATGGACACCCCATCTAATAATATCCAGGACAATAAAAAATTGTAATACATTGAGCAAAATACTATATTTCTTTGTTATAAAGGAGACAGTGCATAGAAGAAAGTGGCAAAATTTTAATGGGTATTTATATTATCCTATTCATCTTGATATTTAAATAAAAGATTGCCCCACCTGACATGTTAAAAATAACCAAATACATACAGTACCTCATACATGTTTAAAGATTAAAGTTCAAAATTTCTAATATTTTACTTTGGTATTGGGGGGAATTAAACAACATCAAAACATATTCTGAGTTTTAAGTATGAACTAAAACTTCTATAAGAATGAAAATAATGTTTTTCATACAAAAAAAATCATACTATCCTCACTATATAAACAGATAAATTTTAGCAACATAGTAATAAAGCAAAGTTAGAATTTGAGTGATGTAGAAATAGAAAAAAAGAGGAAAGGACAATAGGTAAATTATAAGAAAACAAAAGAAAAATTGAATGAGACAAAAAGATACGATTAAACATAGCAGTGATTTTAAAATATTATAACTATTTTGGTTTAAACTTCATATTTAAAGTTTAAAACACACAAATTTAATGATAAAGAAGAACGCCCAGTTACTATTATAAGAACTACAGCTAATTCAAAATGGTCCCAAATTAAAAATAACGATGAAATACAAGAGGAACAGAAAGACAGGAAAAAATAAAATAAAAGAGCCAAGACATAAATTAGAGAGAGAAAACGTTCCATCATCAAAAGTGTTTGCCTATACTCATAAAAAGCACATAGCCATGAACATTTAAATTCCAATAATATAAAATCAAAATGAGAGGTTTATATGACTTGTCCTAGATCACAGAGTGTATAAATTATAGAACAAGAAGTTAAACCACATTTTCTGTAGTTAAAACCCAGTATTCTTTCCATGCTGATCAAGTTTCCAAAATATGGCTAGTACTGGACACCTGGAAATTAGATAAATGCCATTTACATGAATTCACATATGCAGCAGTTTAAGGCTTCATGTTTAGCAGGTCCAGCAGCAACCTATGATCATTGTCAGAGATTGCAAAGACTGTCACCACTAATGGGCTCCAGTGCAAAGGATGAAAATTTAGCCCTTGAGATCCATTTAGCTTCTTCCCCAAAGTCCTCCAACTTCCTCTCCAAACACCCTCGCCTCCTAGTCCCTGTCACCAGGCACACCTGTGACTATCACAAGGTGTACTTTCTAGCATCCTCTCCTTTACCTTTACTCCATGAAGAAACGTTCTAATGTTTTCTCTTCTCCAGCACGTCTAGTCACGGAGGGACTCTCAGAGCTAGCTAACCGGCAGTACTGCACTGCTTTGGATCCTCTGCAAATTCGAGACTCCTTACCTTAATCAAAAGGTGCAAAAGAGAGCCTGAAAAGCTGGGAAGAGAGAAGTCACCATCCCTGGCGTAGCCGAGAGAGAGACTTTGTCTTTCCTGTGTTCAGTATATTAAAACCACAAAACAAAGCAGAAACAAATTGCCCTTCACTCCATCCCTTGAATGTTCCAACAGGTAACTCTTTCAGTATCTAAAATAGCAACCCCCATCATTCTAGACTCTTAACTGTTAAGTTCATTAGTATTTATTATTTAAATGTTATTTGTTTCTCATGTTATACTATATATACATTGTTTTCAGCTATCTGTCTTCCCCGATCGATATACACTACATAAAGGCAGGGATTGTTTCTGTTCTGTTCACTATACCCCCAGCAACCCAGAACATAAAAAAGAGTCAATAAATATTGTAGAAGGAAGAAAAGAAGGAAAGAAGGAAGGGAGGAGGGGAGGAAGGAAAGTGAAATGAAACAAAATGAAAGGTAATGATGAATCTTATTTTTAACATTCCTTTCTGGAACAAGAAAATTTTACCCTCCGCACAAAACTAATGATTCTTATTTTTGCATAATATTTTGCCATGCTCTTTTTTTAGCAATTAAATTTGTTTTACATTTGAATATCTTTCTCAATACTCACCTAAAAAGGCATCAAACCTAAATTACTTCTGTAGTTGAAATATTGCTACCCCTACCAAGCAATCAGTTCCTTTTTACATGCTTCATACATAATACTAAAGAATATTTCAAAAAAGTAAATGAACTTGAAACACCATAATTATTGACATTTTTCCTCCAGATGGTTAAGCAACCACTAAGATATCCTTTTCTTATAGACTTCCTTATTCTCATATACTTCAGGTTAGCTGTGTTCATGGCATGTAAGTTTACATAAGAACACAATGCCTCTGTGTAAAGGATCAGGGAAGCACACGACATTTGGCAGGTAGCCTTCAATTCAGTTTTTTAGCTATTTGTAAAGTACAGTAAACTTGAATTTTCAAGTAGAGAGAAGTTAAATTGTTGAGATTTACATACCAGAATGTCTTCCAGATAATACTAAAGATATCATTTAGCCAGTTCTTTTACCAAGAGAAATTCAGATGCTTTATGAAATGATCCAATTAGTTTTCCCAATATCTTTACTAAATATCCAATATCAATAATTCACCTTAAGACTTGGAATATGTCTTAAGGCATCTTTCTTTAATGAATGTTATTTACCTGGCCTATATACACTGAATAATATATCATCTATTATAACCAGATAAGGTCCTTTCAATCAATGCATTGATCTAAAGTGGTTCTATAAGTTAATACCTAATGAAGAAAATAAGATGTTAAAAATTGCTGGGATGATAAGCATATACAGATTCACGGGAGACGGAAGGGAACCCTGAGCTCCTAATGAGGAACTCAGGGCTCTCAATATCTTGATTTCAGCCTGTGAGGCACTGAACAGAGAGCCCATCTAGGCTGTGCCTTGACTTCTGACCTACAGAAACAGTGAGATAATACACGGGTGCTTGGTTAAGCCACTACGTTTGTTGTAATTTGTTGTGCAGCAATAAATAACTAATACAGATCGCCAACCAGGTTATTTAGAATGCATTGCGTATATAGGTTGAACCACGTGAAATTTCTGATGTTTGACCATTTTTGACACAGAAAATAATGGCAATTTCATAGAGTTCAATGAACCCTTATCCTGATTAGTTACTTCTTTGTGGTTATAGGCCTGAGACTCTCACAGCTAGAGGACACCTGCAGTTGCCTATCGTCTGACTCTCTCCATAGGTAGTTCATATGGTAGTTTCTTTCTGTAGGGCCAGCAAGAGAACCTCTGACTTCTTCCATAGCCAACCTCCAAACTCTCTTTTAAAGGACTTGCCTGATTAGATCAGGCCCACCAAGGTAATCTCCCTTTTGATTAACTAAGAGTCCACTGACTAGGGACCTTAATTAAATTTGCGAAGTCTTTTCATTTCGCTTGTTCTATTGGTTAGAAGCAAGTTACAGGTCTCACTCACACTCAAGGGGAGAGAATTAAGCAAGGATGTGTGCCATAATTTTAAATGACTCTCTCTTATGAACTGGTGAATTTGTTAACAAAATGTGGCTAAGAAAATGGTCTATAATTCATTATCCAGAAAATCAAAGTCTCTCTATCTCTCTGTCTCTCTTCATTGTCTAGGTGCTATTTATCTTACCTTGCATATTCTAAGCAACAGATTTTTCCCTTGCATGATTTTGTTAACTGTAAATAATTCTCATTCTTTTCTTGTTCTTTATTCATTATCATAAAGTCCTTAACAATTTTGTTGTTGAGGTACATTACTTTTGCCAATATACCTTTTGACAAATGCCTGAGGCTACTTCCTTGTGCTCAGAGATATTTTGTCTATTTACATGACTATGGGTCTTTACATTGTGTTCAAATTGCTTTGGTGTTCTCTCTTTCTTAACTTATTCATTGATTCAAGAACCTACTATATGTCAAGGGGTGAGGTAGATAAACATACATATTCAAGTGTAGGGCTTATAAACTCGTGGAGGAGATAGATATTTGTCAAATAATCACACATAGGTAAATTCTGACTGTGACAATAGCCACCCAAAAAGAAAAAAGTCCATAGTTTTATATTTGGATGACCTGACCAAGTCAGGTAAATCCGCCATATTTCCCTGAGTCAGGGATGTTTGAAGTAGGTCTGAAAGATGAGGAAGGCTGAGGCTAAGCAGAGGGAAAAGAACATTCTATGTACAGGGCGTTGCATGTACTAAGGTCCTGTGGTGGAAAGGAGCATGATAAGGATTAGGGCCTGAGAGAAGCCCTGCTTAGCTGGAGAGGAAAGATTAGTACAGGATGAGACTGGCAAAGAAGTTAGGGATGGGATGATGCAAGGCATATTAAATTCTATTATCATTCAGAGAGCAACAGGAGATCATTGAAGAGTTATAGCAGGGAAAGTAGTGTGATTGGATATAGTTTTGTGCTGGGTGGTGGAAAAAAAATAAAAGACTTTTAGGGTGG